GCGTTTGTAATGGGAATTTGATAGAAGAATGAATGTATGTACTCGTATGCTTTGCCATGTGGCCCAGATTGCCTGTATGTGTGTACAGCATAGCTGATTCTTCACTGGGCTACAAACACAGAAACAAGCTAATTGGTGCAAACCAAAATGCATGAACCACACACTAAACACACAAGCCAGTGAGTCATGTGCTTTCACAGATTAAAACAGAACTGTAAACACACACGCACACACACCAAGTGTGGAACCATGGCTGCAGCTGTGCCTGGATCTGCCTGCCAACCTGTCTGACTAGTTTAGAAGCCACACGACAGGCCCACAGGGACTGGGAGTAGTCTGTGAATCTACTCCACAGACCACTGCAACGAACACAGTTAAAACGACCCTCGACAAACACATTTCTGAGAACCGCTGGGTCCTATCCAACACAGCCTGCATGCAAACTAGACCCACATGCTTCACTGGGTATTTGGTGCACCATCATCTTTCACTCTAATTACGAGTGATATACAGTGAAGAGGTCAGAACTACGCAGCAGCAGCAACACTTTTTAGTCGCAGAACAGTTACCGTGGGACCATCGTCCTGAAAATTCTAATTCAGCTTAGCTTTACCTGAAACAAGTAGCTTATTTATGTTGCAAAAGTAGTCCTGTGAAAATCACCTCTGGATTTCACCCAGCTGCAGTAAGCATGGTATTGCTGTGAATGTTTTGCAGTGCTTTCTTTATCTTTCTTAATCCTCCTTTTGGGTTTTGTTTTTTGTATTTTGAAATATATTTCACTGAGATCGACCTTAGTGTGCACACTTTTTCCTTAATTAACCTTTCTACAGTGTGCAAAACTCAGGCAAAGACACACTCTACCCATCAGGGAAATGGACACAGGTCAACAAGGGAACTAGCCTTCCTCCATAACTGCTGAATTCCAAGGCTCTAATTAGTGATAGCCACATGTGAAGTGGCCAAAATAAAACAATGGCTGCCAGCTTGGTTTGTTGGAAAAGGCTAAAATAGCTGGGGGGAATGGTATTTCCAAAGTAGACAACAGTGTCTGTGGAACAGCCTGGGAAGAAGTTGCAAATTTTCCCTTTCCCTCCATGTAAAATATAAAGTCTGCTTTATTGTGGTAAGGAATAACTGAGGAGCATTATGGGTATTGTTGCACCAGATCAAAGCCAGACAATAACATGATGAGTCTCATACTTGAGAGGTAGGGGATTTGTTCAAAGAAGATGGCAGGGGGTAGCAAGGGAGATGAGTGTAGATGCAAAGGAAGGGGCAGAAAAATGTAGAAGCTGCTGACTCACTGTAATCATCAGGCTGAGGCAAGCTGTGCCACTGCTGCTTGGGTTAAATCCCAGTGCCTCCCCTTCAGAAGGACAACGTGATGCTTCACGCCAACTGTGAAGAGCTGGATGACTGAAGGTGGGAAATAGTATGGTGAAATAAAACTGTCTCTGGGCATGAAATAGCTCCTCTTTCTTTCTTCTCACATCTGAGTGCAGACAGAATGATGCAATATGAAGAAGGCAATAAATTGCCCAAAACTGTGTGAGTAAAAACCAAAGGTAAAAATAAAGCCCTGCTGTGACAGATAACTGCAGGATTGTGACTGGTGTGAGAGGAGAGCCTTGGCTGAAGGACTGGGGAGAATCGGATCTCTGTGTACGCTATTAAAAATCATGCAATGAACCAACATGATGGCCTGCACCATAGTAAGATTTTGACAGGACTGCAGTAGATGCAGCATCCTGATGAGGCTTAATTCAATTCCCATAAAACAAAAGCAAACAGACAGTGTGAGTACTGTTGTTGGATTCAGCTGGGGAAATGTTATGTTATCCTCTTTGTGGTTATTCCAAACAAAGGGTGTAAAACAAAACAAGATTAGGTCTCTGTGCATACTGGGTAAACACAAAGTTGCAGTGCACTGTAATTACAACTATATCAGCGAACAATCAATAACACAGTGCTGCTCATCCATTATCAGGTATTAGTTACAAGGTGTGCAAACATTGTTTGATTTTAGTGGCTCATTTAAAGCCCAGACCTAAACCCCAATGAACATCTGTGGAGAAACCTGAAGATGGCAGTTCAGGGATGCTTGCCATCCAAACTGACAGACCTTGAGAGGATCTGTCATGAAGAATGGGATAAACTGCCCAAAATCAAGCTGTAATTGCTGCCAAAAGGGCTGCTACAAAGTATTGGATGAAGAGTCTGAATACTTTAAGAGATTTCAGTTTTTGATTCTTAATTAAAATTCAGACAGTTTTATGACCATGGTTTCACTTTGCCATTATGGGTGATTAAGTACATAATGATGGGTAGAAATGGCAATTATATCCATTCAGAACTGAATCCACAAAACAATAAAATGTGCAAAAAAGGTAAGGGATGTGCATACTTTCGGACTCCACTGACAGTCCAGGTTAATTTCATAAGTCTTGTGGTAGCCAGTGATAACAACAGGTGTGTTTAAGTTGCATGTGTCCACTGCTGGGAGGGAAAAACATGGACTGAGAAGATTAAAGAGACCAGTCAGCATGTTCATTATGGTAAATCTAAACTTGTGACTGAATGCTGTTTTAACAATAAGTAAGATGCACACATGTACCAGCTTTTGTCCTCTGTATCACATCGAGAGCATGCAAGCATTGTTTCCTATGAAATCTCTTGTACCTAAGTATAAAAAGGGAATGCTGCACCGGAAAGGTAGCGTCTGCCATTATCAGTGTGAATGACTACACAGAGAGGAAACTGCTGAATGCAACAAACGGGTATTGCTGATTAAATGTCAGTCATAGGTAGCATCAAAATAAGGGTTGACATATTGCCAAATAAAAAAGGGTTAGACTTGAGTTTAGGTTAAAACTATGGTGAGCTATTGGATTAGGGGCTAAGGAAAGCACTCAGTGAGGGTCATCAAAGTACAGGAGTACAACTGCATTTGTGTGGTGTGTGTGTTTCTTTGTATGCATCTGTGACTGGTCACTGGAGGTCAGCAGGCAGGAAGAGACACGAGCACAGTCACAAAGCTACAAAAACATGGAGGGTCAAAGAACATTCCCCCTGGGCCAACAGCAGTGACAGCCAAGTGCACCACACACACAGAGATCCTACCTGCTGCATAATCACATCACGGTAACCCAACACAGTTACAGTATGTAGCACTCCTTACCGGAGACAAGAGCTACAGTAAATAGTCAGCTGTAAAATATTCTCTGTCTGCGTGACAGTTTCATATAGAGAAACCACTAATTGCCCTCTTTTTCCAACAGAGAAGTCAATAATAAATGGCTCTGGTAACTTGCAAGTGCAGTGAATGAACACCTCCAATGAGACACAGAGGAGAGGAATTCTGCCTGCGCTTCACTGGATGCCTCATACGTGCTCATTTGAATTGCAAATGGGGGTAGGCAGCATGCTGGGATGTGAAATCCCAGCAGCACCCTCCGGCATCTGAGCTCACGCACAAACCCCGATATATACACACTAGTAGCGAGACTTTGTGTAAATACACACTACAACAAAAAGGAAAAGTCATACAGAATCTCTGAACTTGGCTAACTTCAATGTATCTGAACTCTGTATGATCACAAATTCATGTTGAAACACTGACAAGCAAACAGTGGAGACACCGGTGGTGAGATGACGTAAATGCCTCCCTGGAAGTTAGGCAGGAGAAGAAGCAGCAGGTGATACTCAGAGAGAGGCTAGCTGGAAGGCTGATCCAGCAGACGCCGGAGTGTGTGCACCATTTACTGTGTGACGGGCTGTGTGACAGCAGGTCTGCCAGCTAAGGCTGACGGTACGCGCAGCCTGGAGGAGGAGCGAGACAAGGTATCACAAGCCCACCTGTACAGCAACAGGGAGCAGGCAGAGAACTGCAGAGGCAACAGAACCCGGACTACAACATGATAAACCAAAACAATAACAAAAATGATGTAAACAAAATCTTAAGTTTCAGTGAGAAGAGGTTTTAAGGAGAACACTTGTTAGGTTAGAAATGTCCTATTACGACTGCAACAAACACATAGAGACACTGAGGTGGAAATTGGGGAAGCTTGTTGATGGTAATCCACTACAGAGAACAGTCCTGGTAAAGCAATCTAAAGTCAACCTGTGCATTGCTGAAACATTCCTCTCCACTTCTGTAAGTAATTCCACAAAACAGGTGAAACTCGGGGGTTAAAGGTGAGACCTGCCTGAGCATGCAGTCAAAAACAGTAACCAGCTGATGTATAGTTTACATTTACACTTTACTGACTGACTCATTCCTAAAAGAGACAAAAAATAGCTACAAACAGCCACTTGAGTTTGTTTGGAAAGCAAAAGTCAACTACTTTGAGTAGGCAAACAAGGGGTGTGGATGAGAGGGTGTCTACAGTATGTGCATCTGTCAGTGCGGCTGTTGAAGACTGGCGAAGGGTGTATAAGCCAACAGCAGACACAGTCTGGCCTGACAGGCTGAGACACGAACCGAAACACACAAGTGATATCTGAGTCAAGCACAAACTTTGAAGGACGTGAAAAATCCAATATGAAAGTCTAGGCCTTGCTGTAGGTTATATGGTATTCATACCTGGCAGCGCTGGGGAGGTTCCACTGCCTAGTTGCGGGTTTAAGGGGTTTGATGTTAACACTGACTGGGCCAGTGGGTACAAAACGACGCTTCACCTTGCTTCTGTTTCATGCCCACAGTATCAGTCATCCTCCGGTAGAGGACGGCAAGCAAGCGGGCAAAGTCGGTGCGCGTTCTAAAATTATAGCCTATTGAGCAGCTGCAGCTTGAATAAATACCTGTTCACTGCAGCAGCTAAAAGCACGAAAACAATGACACAAAGCACCTGACACGTATAAAGGGCACACACACGGGACAGATCTCGGAAACGTCAAAGCCCGACATCCAACAAATCGTGTTAATACAACCAACACTGTGCTTATAAGGACATGAGAAAACTGGTAGGATAGAAAAACACATGAATATTTCAACATACCCTCCTGTCAGACAGACATCCAGGGGAGGATCATGGATGGTGCGCAACGGGGAAGGTCAGTCCTGCTCCTGACGCGGTTCCGTGTTTATTCCTCGGTCTCAGGGAAAGGGAGTGTGTCGGTGTTTAGCCGGTGAAAAGCCTAATGAGAGAAGGAGGAGGGGAGAGAAAGAGGGAGGGACGCTGTCAGATGCAGGAAGGCAGCAGAGAGTAAGACTCACTCACACACACACACACACGATCCGTGTGTTTGGAGAGAACGCGTAAAGCCGAGCAACGCGTGCGTTATTCCTGCAAAAATGTCCCTCTCTGTCAACAAGTGCACTAATGTGAACATGCGGAAAAATACAAACAAGGTAACAGAAGCCCTTAGTGTATCCACAGCAGAGCTGCATACGTGCCAGAGACTGTCAACAATAAGAGATATTTACAGTGCACATAGTTAAAATGTGGCCTCTTTGGATTGTCAGTGAGCAAGTGAAGATGTTTCATTTGTAGGCAGATTCATTTTACTGCTTTTAATAAAATATTTAAGGCCCCAGCAACTACATCAGAGGAGTTGCTGTTATTTCTTGGAGTGTCGTCAGGATGGCACAATCCCTTTGATTTCATCACCTTGTCCATGGCTAAGAACATAGCCTTAGCGCCCTCACCTTTGCATACAGAGATGATGGGATTTATAACAAAGGGGGGCGCCCTGAGCCACCCACTGTGGTGAACAAACATAATGGGAACTTGCTAGTTAAAAACAATAATGTGGAGGTATCACTTCTCCATTGTGCCTGCTAAATTAACATGAAGCCACTTTGAAAGGCAAGCTGCTTTTGATTTATTTAATCACTGATGAGTGATTAATGCTGTTGATATAATTAATCACTGTCAGTCCTTTACAAAAGCAAGGCTACATGTTCGGAAGGAGAGTATAAATATGGCAGCAATACAGGAATTACCCGAAGCATAGCTTTGTACTAAACATGGGAGGTCACTGCAAGCTCAGCAGCCACACTCTTTGTGCACAACAGGACAACAGTATTGTATTTAATAACAAATGTCTAGCACCATGTTGGATTAACAACACAGTAAAGGGCAATAGCCCAAAAGCTCGAGGTCTACTGCAAGTTAGTTTGTTTAAAGATTTATTTACATCAAGCATAATATCAAGTGGCATGACAAAGACCTTAAAAGAGTATAGTGCCAGTTTAGCATTGTCCCCTTTGTACTCCAGGGGGACAGTTTCATGGACAGAAATCAAAACTGATATAGCAGAAATAGAAATATTACATCATCTTTTTTATTCCATGCAGAGTTGAGGAGCAGATTACAGGAGTCTGGTAAACTCACTTCTTTCACTCTACCCTTTCGGAGTTCTTTCATATTTAAACTTTTAATTCTTCAGCCCCAATAGCTCCAACTCAGGTGACATCACGTTACGCAGGTCTCCACAAAAGGCTTATAGGCTACAATTTATTTACATATGCAGAAGTTCTCCCCAAACACCTCTCAACAGACTTAGATGTGTGAACTCAGGAGGGATCCCCTTTCATATGTTCTTATTACAAATACATATTTCAGTGTTGCGTTTTGCTAATTCCAGCATTACTTTGTTTAAAGTAACTATAATCAAAGTTATTATTATTACTGTAACAGTGAACCACATGATCATTTGCATGTGAAAGTGGCCAGTTGTTGTCGTGAACCCACAGAGTATAATTACCTTACTCTTTAAGGTTCCTAACACAGCTAGCTAGACTATTAAGCAGCTAAAGAAGCAGCTATAAATGGAATTCAAAAACAGAGCTAATAGGAATGATTATTGGACTTTCACACATCAGGTGGATACAAACAAGACTCCAAACAAATCAGTGTTTCTCCGCATCTGCTGGATGTGTAACCAAGAAACATTTTGCTAACAAAGTCACCATATTAACTTAAAAGGCAAGATGATATATCTGGGTTGTATTTACAGCGGGAATGTGAAGGCCATACATGTTATTTACATCATTTTCATGCTCATAAAACTATTCAGTGTGGAAGCATCTGCATCATTATGTTTCTGTGCATTTAGTCCATGGCACATAAACCTGTACTTGTATGGCCATGAGGTTTCTAGGGTGTTAAGTTCTACTTGTGTTTGACTTGGACATGGTACCTGTGTTACTGATAACACTTTTACCCTGGGCAAATCAATTATTGTTTTACTCTGGCTCTTGTTAAAGACAACAGGATCTGGATGGACAATTCCAAAATACTTTAACTATTTAACCACTGATTTATGCAATGAAAGCTCTGAAGCCTCTCTTCATGGTCACAACAGTTCACATTGCAGGTGGACAAATCATTCATAACAAAACAACTCTGAATGAAGCATCTCTTCTTCAGGATTCAACAGTGCTGGTGTCCAGGCCTCTGAGCAAAGAGAAGCAGGCAAATATACAAACCTTAAATACCTGCACAAAACACTGATAATGCATATGCATAGGTAATCAGACATCAAAATGTAAATGAGTTGGGGGGGTGTTCTATTCTTCTGATCACAATTTAATTATCCACCTGAGTAAGCACAAGGACCATGACTCAGTGGTGCTGGTTTGGCTTGAATTAGTGACTTGTCTTTTACATGCTCTATACAGCATGAATAGTTAGGTTCAGAGAACATCATGGTTTGGGTTAAAATAACCTTCGTCCTCATAGTTAAATAATAATAATGATTTAAAGAGCAACTTTGCACTCCCTGAAACTGTTGTTTTGCTGACCTCTAGTTTAACTTGTTGTTGCTTAACTCACCTGTTTTAAGTTCCCACTGCTGGGTGCAGGTGCAACACAGCACACTTCTGACTACAGTCAACCACATTCATCAGTGATGCTGGGCATTAGAAATCAGAGGTCAAATAGCAGCGACACACTGGTTTTCAGTCTGCTTTATTCATGTCACCATGGGAAAGTCTTTGCATGAAGAAACACTGGGTCCAATGAAGGCCAACTGTTGTGTTGCCTCACATCGCCTTCATCTGGGCCAAAAAGTGGCACTTGAGTACACCACACAGATTACAGCCAATGGTCAGCTAGCATGTAAGCACAGCATATGAGCGGAGTGGAGTGGTGAGAATTTCTGCTCCTGTCTTGCGGAGCTGTTTGCTCACTCTGCTCCCCCACTCAAAGCTGCACCAGGCCACTTCACTCGGCGCTCAGCTCAGATTGCATCCTGCTCCACCTAAATCACACCCTCTTGCCACAAAAAAGGGAAAGAAGGAAATCCTCCCTCCTCCATGTTAGTGGAGGGGACATGAGACAAAATTATAACTCAAAATACAAATCAGATACATTTTTCCCACAGGTGATATCTGTGGTTTTTGGTATATATTATCATGCTGATTTGTGCACAAGTGGTTGTTTTTCTGTTAAGGTTGTTTTTAGTAAGTTATTTAATGATATAAAAAGAGATGTATTTCAGTTCATTTGACAGCTTTGACTGGTGGTCTGATGCTCTGCCTCCACTTCTGGTTGCTACTACGCAAAATTGGCTGCAAAAATCAAAGATGGCAGCCACCATAGTTATGATATTTTGCCTTATTTTATGCATAGTCGAGGGAAGTGGTGACGCCATGTCCATCTTATACGTATATGTCAGTGTGGGGGACACACTGCAAAGATGAGGAAGACAGACACTCACAGATGGCCTGACTGTCAGCTTGGTGTGTCGTGGGCTTCAAACAACAATGAAACCCTCAGTCATGAAATTTCTTTGTGATCAACAGAAGGAGAGACACACCATGATGCTGAAGTATAAACTAGTTGTCTATTTATGACTCCAGGGAAGCAGGAGTTCTTTGGCTCCAGGCAAATACTCACCTGGCAGGACAGTGGACACTCTGCGGACAGCAAAAATAGCTGAAACCACACATATCCTTGTTAGACATCATCTGCTTTGTTATTATACCTTTAATCCAGTTCCCTAAGCATAACTCCAGGCCAGACTGATGTTGCTCCTAATGAGAACTGATAGATAATCTAAGGGAAAATACTCTGACAGGCTTCTGGGATTCTACTGGCACCTGTTATTAGCTGCAGGTTGCTAATCAAAGGCAGCATGAATACTAGACACGAATCAACAGTGCTGCATGCTTTCCCTGGAATAGATTCCACAGAGTCATTCCTTCCAATCTTTAATCCCAGTGCCCACTGGGTGGAAGGGAGGGAAGCCAGTGGGACCAAAAACCATGTCACATTGGAGCAGAGTATTAAAACTTCCGGCCAAAAATCCTAGAGTTCTGGACAGGAGCAGCATATGGCTGTGGGTGGCTGGATCACACCCACATAGGCAATTCTTGTCTGCTCTTGAAAAAGTTTTGCCAGTATACTGCTGAGATGGAACCAGTGAATTACTACTGTAGCAACCCATGTATGATGCATATTGATGAAGAATGACTCACACCAACTGGCAACTGCTGAGACATATGTGATATCTGTGAGTCCAGTTTCTCATCACGCTGTGCCTTAATGTCGTCTATGAAATAAGATACATGGATGAAATATGAAATAGATACTGCACCCTGTTGCAGTTGATTAATGTTACCATATCCTGTTGTACAGACTTTTACTTTTTCAGTTGCTGTTCTCCCCAAGTCCAACTGTTTTAAGTTTCATTCTAAAAATATGCACAATTAAATAGAGAGTGTTGGCAGGCAACCAATGATCCATCTCAAAAATATAAAGTACACTTTTGTTTTGAACCCAACAAAAGTGAGTGATACATTTGAATATTATTCTGTGGTTCATTACAAACTGAGAATTATTTTTTTTAGTTGGAAAATACAGGAAACAAATGTATTTAGTGTAACTTAAAATCATGAGTTCAGCTTATTAGAGGTGCAATTAATAGTTTAGTTAACTAACTTATTGTGGCATGTTGTTAGGTTATTTACATATACCTCCCAGCATGCATTGCATCAGGGTTTCATCAAATCTCCAAATAGTCCTTCTTTTTTGTCACATGTAAAAAGAATACAGAATGGCAGTCATTCAGTTTTTCTTTATACATGTGTCTCAGAGGAGCCAGAAGCTTTTCTTTTTGGTCAAAATTATTAAATGCTAGTCTCTCCCCAGTCTATATAAAAGTAGAATAACAATTTTGATAAGCATCCAAATTTTGCTGCCTCATGAAGTCACTTTTTTTTCACTAAAAGCAAATTTTGTTAGCTTTATTGCAGGTGTCCACACAGGCTAGTAAATCAAATGTGAGACCTTCCTGCTGTGCACTTTCCACTCAGCCATCATGTCTTCCTAGAA